GCGCGGGGGAAGCGTCAACCTGCTCTTGTAGCTTCAGCGCTGGGGCAGTTCCTGGCAAGGGGCTCGGGGGGGGGGGGGGCCCCCCGCCCCGCCGGTCCCTGCCACGTCAGTGCTAGTGACGCCCTTGTGCCTCGGCAGCGGCCTTCGGTGATGCTGTCCTGGCGCGGCAATCGCTCAGCGAGCGGCGCCTGCGCATTGATACCGTGTCTCGTCAGCGCGGTTGTGCTTCTGTATTCATCACCGTTGTCGCATCCGTGTCAGCGTCAGCGCCAGGACTGTCAGCATTCGTTATCCCAACGTCGCTGCTGCCATTACTATTATGAACGATTAGTTAATATTAATTCAGTATCGTGATCACTTTATCATTATTATTGTAATTATGTTACTACTATTATCAATAATGATGCGTTTATTTATCATTACTACAGCCCTCCCTGGTGCTGCAGGGGCTGAGTAGCCCTGTGCAGCCCCTGAGGAGGCCGCAGCTGCCTCCTCTGGGGTGGGGGGCCTGTGCAAGCCATGGGGGAGGCTGGGGCTGGGGCACTGCCTCGCTAGGGCAATCCCAGGGAGGAGAGCATTAGCAAGGGATGCAGTGGGGCCTGGCTGGTGTGCTGCCCGCACAGTGTTGGGTGCCAGGGAAAAGGCACCTGTGAGCACTGTCACCCCCCCACCCTCCATCAGCTAGAGCCCCCGGGGCATCCACGCGTAGGGGCCAGGAGTGACCGCTGTGCTGCCTTTGCTGGCTGGCGCGCAACAGCGGTGACTGCAGTCAGTGCAATGGCTAAGCAGCCAGAAGGCTGAGGAGGGATTAAGGTGCTGCCACAAGGCACGTGGGGGGAAGCAGTGGCTTGGTCTTGCCCCGTTTTATCTCCCGAGGTGGGTGCTGCTCAGGCTATTGGCTCTCCAAGGCAACCATGGTGATCACTGGCTTTTGAATCGGAAATCAGAGTGAAGCCCCACCTTTGGGCAGCTAACAAAATATGATGACCATCCTTTTTTATTCCTTGTCCTGTGATTTCTCATTCTCATAGCAGAGTTTACTGGATAAAATGGCTTTTCTGCCTGTCTGTGCTATGTAGCTATCCTTCCAGAGCTGTAGGATTACCAGGTAGGATAGCTTTATGACCACAATTCCCAGCTAAGCTCTGATTGCAGGATCAGTGGTACTGATAGCAGAGGAGGCAGGCTAAACCATGCTGGTTTTTCCAACATCCAGGTGAAACATGTCACCTCTGGTGATAAAGAAAGCTCTTGCACATGTAATGGCCACCACTACAGAAGAAGAGTTAGAATTAAGTGCGTCTCCAAAAGGGACTTGCAGGAGTTATGGGCTCTCCCAGTGCTCCCTTTGTGAGCTACTGCTCATTGCGCAGCTTTGTTTACCCATTCTGCCCCTAGCTGTGCAACATGGGATGAAGCTGGCACCAGGACAATCTTACCATTTGCACTGGGCACAGGACAGTCTGCACAAGCTGTCACTGCATGAACAATGCAGCTGCTCTTTTGTTTAGTTTTCCATTGGGTGTTCCAACACCAACACCATGTCCCCTCCACTTGTTCAAACCTTTTAGCAGAGCCCCCCGCTGCAAGCTGCTGCCCTGTTTCTCCCATGCAATCACCTTCTCTCAACATATCTGGTAGTGTTCTCCCTTACTACACCTTCCAGAACACCTTCCAGGTATTCTCTTCTGTTCTACCAGTGAGCGGATGTGAAAGACGACACGAGACCTGCATCAGGGAGACCAACTGGCAGCTTCAGGAATGGTGTCTGGAGGCGGGCTTCAGCTCCTAGACAACGACCCGCACATCAGGACAAGAGACATGCTTGGGTGGGATGGGCTTTACCTTTCCCCCAAAGGTAAGCATGTGTTCTCTTCTAGGTTGGCAGATCTCCTCCGGCGGGCTTTAAACTAGGCTCATCAGGGAAAAGGGAAGACAAGGGTGGAGGAAGCCTTGGACCACTAATCCAAACATCACCCACAAGAACAGCCCAGCCTAAACTGATGATGAGCAGTACAAATACCCAGGTAAGCAACAGGGGCCAGTGCACACATCTTCAAGAGGCCTCAAATGCCTCTACACAAATGCTCGTAGTATGGGGAACAAGCAGGAGGAACTTACTCTCCTGCTAACTGACACCAACCCAGACATAGTGGGGCTCACAGAAACGTGGTGGGACCCAACGCATGATTGGGTGGTGAATATCAAGGGCTATAGGCTGTACAGGAGTGATAGGACAGGGAGGAAAGGTGGGGATGTGATGCTCTACGTCAAGGAGGAATACACATCCTCAACGAGTAGCACTGGGTTAAGAGGAGGGGCACACTGAAGTGCTCTGGGTTAGAATACAAGGAAGTCGAGGGGAAAGGGACTTAATGATGGGGGTCTACTACAGACCACCCAACCAAGGGGAAGAGTTAGACCAGGAATTCTTAAGTCAGCTCACGGAGGCAGTTAGGTCAAAGGACGTGTTCATCATGGGTGACCTGAACTTTCCAGACATCTGCTGGGAAGAACAGTCAGCCAGGTCTGACTGCTCACGTAGGTTCCTAGCCGAGATACAGGACCTCCATGTAACCCAGGAGGTGCACAGCCCCACCAGGGGAGATGCCTTGTTGGACCTGGTCCTGGCCACGGGCAACGACCTGGTGAGGGGGCTGTGGCTACTCGACCACCTGGGCGACAGCGATCATCGCCTTGCTGGAATTCACCATCCAGTGCAAGGTGGCAAAGGCCTGCAGCAAGGCAGCAGCCCTGGACTTCAGGAGGGTGGACTTCAATGAGGTAAGGAGAATAGTTGGGGAGGCACTGAGGTCCCACAGGGGAGAGGAATTGGGGGTCCAAGAAGAGTGGTCGTTCCTTAAGGAGACAATCCTCCAAGCCCAAAAGGAGGTAATCCCAACACGGATCAAAGGGGGCAAGAGGGTGCAAAAAGTCCCCATGGCTCACCAAAAGCATACGGGAACGTCTCCTGGCTAAAAGGGAAGTGTACACCCAATAGAAGGGAGGGGC